ACTTACATGAATATATTATAATAAAAAAATATTTACCATTTATAACAATAATTTCTTTCACTTTATCAGTTTTAATTTATTTATAATATAAGTTTAATACATATTACAAAGAATAATTTATTATTCACATATAATACAAATTTTAATGATAGATAGTATATTTATAATGCAATGTTTCAATATTTTTACCAAACAAACATAATATATTTTTAAAAACAATTATAATTCATATATATTGTATATAATTCACTTTTAATTCATATAGCATATTTAACAGAATATTACTAAAATAATAATAAATAAAAAACATTACTAAAATCAGTAATTATTTATTAAAATATAATTTTTCCTAAAATTATACCAAGGCATGTCGTCTAAGAAATTAATATAAAAAGGCCGACTCTAAGTTTTTTTTTTTTACCACACGTGAAATGAATTTCTTAATATGATATTTATAAATTATAATATATTAATTAAAAAAATATGACCCCTTTAAAGTTTAATAATTCATTGATATTATTGCAAACGTGACTAAAAACTAAAATAATTAAGTGAAGAAGAAAGAGAAGTCAACAAGTTGGCATATGTTGAATACACATTCTTTTATTATGGAGATAAATTAATATTCCTTTAGTCTCAATTTATTTATCATTTTTCAAATTTTAATATTTTAATAAATTATTATTTAATCACAAGATTTTATATTGTTAATTTTAATAATTAATATAATAATTATAAATATATAAATTTTATGTCTGAAAATTTAAAAAATTCATGCTTAAATTTAAAGTAAAAATAATCTTTTAATTTTTGAAATTCAAACAATATCATATAAATTGAGACAGAAAAAATATAAATTTACTATATTATCCTTCCCATTTATTTTGACTCAACTAGATTAGTTGACTTTAAGTCGATTTCTGGTCAATTCTGTGTACTCATGGAGACCAAGTAAAACTCTTATTTATTTATTTTTAATACAATTATCACTTAATTTTCCATTTACATTTAATTTATTCATTAAAATAAATATTCAATATAGTTTTCTTGTGCAAATTATGTCAATTTTGTTTTTGTTGAAGTATATATACTATATATATAACCACATTGTCCATAGGCTTTGGTGTTGAACTTGAGTTGAACTCGATCAAATTGATTTATTATAAGGTTGAGTTCAAATCAAATTAAATAAAATTTAAATTACAATAGAATGAAGATCAGTTGAGCTCAAGCAAGTGTATGTAGGCTGGATGACGAGTAGAATCTGAGTCAATCTCAATCAAATTCGATATAATATCGAGTTTAAGTTGAGACAAATCAAACTGATTAGCAACAGTTGCGTTAAATATCAATTTAGTTCAAGTAAACACTTTTTTTTTGTTTTCACGTGTTTTACTTAAAAGTAACGAGTATCACCTTGTACAACTAGGGTAAAATCATCACCAAAGTTTGTGATAGATATGATAGTAAGTATATATCCTTCTTTAACCAGTTGTTTCAAGTTCGAATTTTAGGAAATGAGACATCATTGATAGAGAAAACTTGATCCGTTAAAGTTGGAGTTTTTTTGGTCCTTGCATTATATTGTTAATATTCATAGGCCAAAAACACATATGGGCTTTGCACAATTTAAGGCCTATTTGTAAAAAATACTATCACGCCTATATTAAAAATGCATTATTTTTGAAAAATTAGGCACACACTCATCGACTTATTTCCTTTTCTTTAAGAGTTTGAACAACATAATCTCAAAGTGCTCAAAGTTAACAATGTTATTTAATAATCCAATCTCCAAACGACAAATTAAATTTTATTATTCAGCTCCTGAATACATGTCTAATTTTTTTTAACATATCAATACAATGAAAATAAAATAAATCGTTAAGATATTAATCTAAATTCATATAATTTTATTCTAAAAAAATCATAACAATTATAAAAAAAAGGGAGAAAGTAAATATTTGTAAATCTCTTAACAATAAAATATTGAATGAATTCTTTAATACCAACCATAGAAGGTTAATTCTATTTGGGTCATGTGACTCATATTCCCAGAAATTGTACACTTGATATGAGCCCTCTACTAATGGCTAGCTATTAATGTAATATTATTATTATTAATCAGATATTGTACAATTTGATATTTATGTATATATTTTCTTCAAGAGAAATTTGTTTGAAAATTACATATAAGTGGTAGGGGTCTAATTGTTGATGTGAAGTGGATTCAAAAAGTCCAAACAAAGTTTTAATGTCAGGAAAATGTCTTAACCTATGTCTGAAATTTTAGAGACACATTTATATTATATTAAGGTTCTATTACGTCCCTGAAACTATTTTATAAGTAATTTTCTATCCCTTTTAAGTCGACGTGGAACTAGCTTGAAAAAAAAATCAATCAGCGTTGAACCCACAAAATACTGCCACGTAGGTCGAAAAGGGACATAAAATTATTAATAAAATAACTTCAGGGAGGTAATAGGACTTCAATATAGTATAAGTGTGTCTCTGAGATTTCAAGCATAGTTTGAGGGGATACTTGTGTGTTATCCCTTTTAATGTCTTTTCCGTATTCAATATTTCAGTTAAAATTTTATGTAATAGTCCAATCTATTAATGATATTGACAGTTTTAGATCTTAGTTCAATCACATCATTTTAAAATGTGTTGCTAGAGTCTAAAGTTTGCTTGAGTACGTATACATCCCTTTCAGTAATTCAACATTTTGATTGATGGTTTTTTTTTCCATCATCGCAAAGTGATTTTGATATTATATTTTGTACTTCATCCTGCTAGTAATAGTGTTCGCTTTAAAATGTATCACTAAAAAATAACGCTTGTTTTGTTATAATCTTTATTATGATCTCTTGAGTTTTATTGATGTGAGATTCACCTATAGAAAAGTTATGATAGCATATACCCCCACTTCCTCTCTAGGGATTCAATATTTTCCTTGAGATTTGTCCTATCCTCATTTAAGGCTGCGGTACGCAAAGTAATTTTGGTATTATATGTTATAAATCACCCTGCTAGTAATATTGTTCGCTTAAATATGCATCACTAAAAAATAAGACTTTTTTTTTAAAGACATTATACATAAACATGACCCTTAACTTGACGTCAACTGATAACTATGACCCTTGACTTTAGGCATGCACAAGTAGACATTTAAACTTGTATAAAATTGAACAAATAAACACATTCGTCCTACATAACATCCTACATGGCGATTTTTTGTCCTACTTGGCGTCCTACATGTATTATGTCATGTAGGACACGTGTGTGCATACTCAAAGTTGGAGGGCGTAATGGTCATGTTTATGTATTATATCATTCTTAAAATATCCAATATGATCTCTCGTGTTTTGTTGATGTAGGATTCACCCATAGGAAAGTCATAATAGCATGGACCAGTAGCATAGCCAGAATTTTCAATAAGGGGATTCAAAATTTGAAGAAATTGACTCACAAAATATCCGGAGGGAGTTCGACATCTACTAATTAGACAGAGTTTATATTGTGAAAGGCTTATTTGGAAGTGTTTATTAACCATCATGACTTTTCTATATCCAAAGCCAACTCAATTTCTTTAATTGAAAATATAAAAATCATATTCATCTCATCTCAATACTCGATAATTTTTCGTTCGAGGTTGAATAAAACATATTTATGACTTAAAAACATTCCACATGCAATGAGATTGATTTTTAATTAAAAGAAGAAGAAGAGAAAATAACCTCCATTGATAAAGATGTAAAACAACTTATTTAATGGTCACTCTTTTGATAATGTGATAAACTAATTGACTTTAATATTGCCCATTTAATTAACTAACAGCTGCAATAAATATCATTAATGAATATAGAAGGCTCTATAATATTAATTGCTTTCGAAAACTACAATTATATTTAGGGAAAAACGTTGATATACTTCTCAATTTTGTCATTTGAAGTTGATATACCTCTCGTTATGAAAATGACTCATATATGCCCTTATCGTTATACAAACGACTCACGTATACCCCTGCCGTTACAAAATGAGCTCACATATATCCTTCATTTAACAGAAGTTAAAAAATTAGTTTTAAATTTATATTTTTTACTTCTAATTTTTTAAAAAAAATTTATTTAGGGGTATATATGATTCTTCTATCAAAGTTCAAGGTATATTTAAATTTTTCTCATACATACATTATTTTTTGACTTCTTTTATTATAATTATTTGAGTTTCTTATTCTTATTCTTATTTTTTTCTTTCATTCTTAGTTTACAGAAAAAAAATTTAAACTATTTTTTTTGTCTATATTGTAATTTAATTTTTTATTCGAAGAAAAAAGTTTTGTCATCTACGATAAGTTTTAGAAGAATATTAGTGAAACATAAATAAATTTGATAATCAAAATAATAATTCTAAATTAGTCATTGAAACAAAAAAAAGTCAAAAAAAAAAGTTTGACGAGGATTAAATTTACTCATATGGAATTATATTTTTTAGAAAAAAAATTAAAAAATAGATTGAAATTATTATTTTTTTATTTCCGTTAGAGGAAAAGGGCATATGTGAGCCATTTATTTATAAGTAGAAGTATATATGAGTCACTTTCATAACAAGGGGTATATCAGCTCTAAGGGAATTGAGATATAATAATTGATAGACTTAATTTTATCAAGTCACTCTTATTAAAATAAGTCATCTTAAAAAATAAAAAAAGAATAATTTTTAATTGGTCGGGTAAAAATAAATATAAAATAATAAATTATTTATTAATTTTATAAACTGATCAAATATTATTTGGCATTTCAAAATAATATAATGGACAAGTAAAGATGAATGAACTGATTAATAAAAAAAAAATCATGTTCCAACAAACCATGTGAAGCATCTACAAGATTAAATTAGAAAACTTTTTTTTTTTGTAATTATTGAAGGTAATAACAAGGGATGTTGCAACAAAAATGTAATTGCATTTATAGTAAAGATAACAACTATACATGAACTACTAACAACAAAATATTAATTTGATTAACCAAACTATATAGTATAGTAGGTTTCATTGGGTTGCAAATTAATATGACTTGTTACTATAGCACTAGTTGTAATACAAAATTTCCAAATTTTCATGATCACACATTAATCCAATAATATCAAGATAATCAAAACTCAATAAAAGCTACTATAATCTAATATTGATAAAATATAAGGAAAATACATAAGCACCTCCAATATTAAGGTCCTATTATTCCCTGAACTTATTTTATAACTAATTTTATACCCCTTTTCGGCCTACATGATACTAACTTGAAAAAAAATGTCAACACGCGCAGGGCCCACAAGATAGTGCCACGTACGCCGAGAAAGGGTAGAAAATTATTTATAGTATAAGCGTGTCTCTGAGATTTCGGGCTTAGGTTGAGGGGGTACTCGTGCATTTTCCCGTATTATTACAACATGCTTGATCCTTGATTACTTTGAGTTGTTGATTCTTTCTTCATGGAATAAATCAAGCAAAACAGTGCTCTTGCATTTAGGGCATTTTGGTTTATTTACTGATAACATAACATACATCAAACATCTAGGGCATCCCACAAGCATCATTGAGGTTGTCTCTGAGCTACTAGGGCAATCGGAAAATGATCGATCATCGATAGGGCTTGGCTCTTGAGAAACACAAGAGGAGGTTGGTGATCTTATGATCTCCATTGAAGAAGAAGAAGAAGAAGATGATGATGATGATCTTCTTGGTGGTGAAAGTTCATTTCTTGCCCTTGGTAGTGGTAAGTTTAGCTTCAAGTCAACTTTTGCATGTGTTTTCTCCTTAGTATGGTTCATTTTTTTTATTATTATTATTTTGAAATTTATCCCAATAATTCTGCATATATAATATAAATAAAAATTAGAAAAACAATAAAAAAAAATAAAAAAGAGTTGTGAACATAAAAATTAAGAAGAAATAATAAATTACCTTTGATGAGAAGAGTTGAAAATTGCCTAATTGTGTAGATCAAAAACAAGATAAGTGAAAATTGAGAGAAGAAAGAATTGGTGTAGGAGGAAAATAGCCTAAGTTAGGATAAGATTTATATAATAAGTTAGATGAAAGAGAATTTATGAGGTTTATTTAGTGCAAAATTAATTGTGATTGCAACTTTTATATATATATATATATATATATATATATATATTAAATTACGGGTGAATGTGTATCCTCACGATATTATATGGGTCTGACTGTGGGTCTAATAACTTCAATGTATGTGAGTCTGTATTTGGGTCCAATAATTTCATTGTAGTAAAAGAAATAATTATACAGAACGACAATATAAAAAAAATTTGTACATCAATATATTTTGATTTTGAAAATAGAGTTATCACGATTAATTTCTTGTGTACTTAACTATTTCAAGGTCTTATTTAATTATATTTTAAATTACATTTTATTAGCGCAAAATAAAAAAAAACTTACTATATCAATTTAGTTACGATTATTATCATATATTAAATAAGTAATATTTATCATAAAAATACATACATAATTGGCTTAATAAATGATCTAGTTTTGGAAAATTTTGTACATTATTTTAGTGAATACAACATAAACTCATTTTGTTAAAGAGAAAAATATCTCTAATTAAAACACAAAATAACTCCAATAAAAATTGTTGAATTCGAAGGATTAACAAGTTTGTGGAACTGAAAAAATGACTTATAAAGTTCAAACCTTATAATTATAAGTTTAAAACCCAAAAAGAAAACGATTCATGAATAAATTCAAATATATATACATACGATAAAATAATTTTATATTTTATCCTTATTTTACCGACAAAACGACCAATATTGTACTCTCTTACATGAAAATATGGTATTAATTTTTTTTGTATTTTTGTAAAACTATTTTAGTACTCCTATATGACAAATTGACAATGTAGTACTTCTTGCTATAAATGAGAAATAATATTTTTTTCTAAAAAAAAAAAACTATGCCAACCAGCTGACAATACCGATTTAGTTAAAGTTATTTAAAGTACCTTCAATGAAAGGGGAATATATATTATTCTTTTCATGAAACTATACGATAATAATATATCGTCAATTTTACAAAGTAATGATTAATAATTACACTATCATATAAGGTATAGTGTTGATCAGTCAAGAATGTTCATATTCAAAGATAAAGGTAACATAGATCGATGATGATTAAGAACGGTTATATGAGACAAGGTGAAAGTATCTCTATAACAGACAAGATGAGAAAAGTGAGAGTAAAATGGATCATACACGTGAAGAGGAAGTGCGGGATTCACTATTGAGAAGGTTAGATGTCGTAGGAATTATGAAAGGTAGAAATAGAGCAAAGAAGAACCGGAGGGAGGTGATTAGACTCACCACATGACACAATTTCAGTTGATTGAAGACATGACATTAGATAAAAAGTTACCGAATCGAGAATTAAGGTAGAAGATCAGCGGGCAATCAATAGTTGTCGTACTCTAATAGTATACGTAATTTCTTTTTTTTTTCCTCCAATGTATATTAACATTTGTTGCTACACTTTTTTTTTATTTATACATTGCTATTTTATTGTCTTTTTTTTTCTCTTAAATTTCTTGTTACGTTTTTTTTGAGCTGATGATGATCTATCAAAAACATTTTTTTTAACTCAAAAGAAAATTGCACATACGCTGAAAAATAATAATCATTCTAATCTTTACGCTTCTAGGAAAAAAAAATAAACTACGTAAAAAGTATCGAGAAAAAATAAAATAACACTCTTATTGATACTAACACAATTCTTAATCTTTTGGAAAAGATTAAACATCGTATATGTTGCTTACGTTTAATCCCTAAATAATTTTTCATTCATTTCATGTAAGAATATCCTTCATCGTCGACCATGCCCCTACCTCGAGGTTGTTCCTGATGGACCCTCAACTCGGAAAAAGCAAAAACACAATATTTATGAAGACATAAGCGGTAACAACAGAATAGTAAGAAAAAATCGAGGTATAAGAGACAACAAATAGTAATAGAAAACTAAGAATGAGTAAAATAATGAAAATATCAAAAAATTATACTAATACTACTTAAGTGGAGAGACTTCATCATATAGTATATAGGTATAGAAAACAATTTGATGTATCGATATACAACATAATTTTCCGAGGAAGAGGTATCAATTAACTCGTATTAAACAAGGGCAGCTCCGCGGCGGGCTAGAGGCCGGGTGCTGTGCAGAATTGTAGTAAAACACATTCAGACAATATGAAAGTTTCTCCTCCTTTTTTTCACACTAGTATTGCAATATGAATTAGTGTTATGATTTATGACACTTAAATTGCAGAGTTACAACAAAAACACACACAAAATAAGCAGAAAATAGTTACAGATAGTACAGAGAATTTAGTAATATGATGTCAACTGACTAATCCTCAAGAATTTGCTGTTTTTCAAATTCAGCAATGTCAGCAAGTGAGCTAAGACTGTTGCTTATTGTTTCATTGCTACTTCTGCACTGAAGCAATTGTTCCCTGAGGTTCCGCACGAGCTCGTTAAGCCTTTGGATGTTCTTCTCCTGTGATAATATAATCTGCAAATTTTTTAACAGTAGGGTAAGACTGCGTACATTAGACACTTGTGGTTCAGCCCTTACATAGCAAGAGCTTAGTGCACTAGGGGCTGCCCTTCAGAGCAAGGCCAAAGAGTTTGTATTTGAGGCAGAGGTCGAACTTGTGGCCTAAGTCCCTCCACCTTTACCAATTGAACCGTCATTAAAAACGCAAGTTGAGCTGCCAGCAGAACTCTGGCCAGTGACAGAGCCAACTTGGTGCATACAATAAGTTGGCTACAGTCCCACTGGTTCAGTCACAACTACTCTCTCTCTCTTTGCTGATCTACAATTACTTTCAATTCTTTTAGTCCTTATCTGTCAAAACTGCTACTACAGATTCTTTAATGCATTCATTTGCTTGTGTCATTCTCAAGAGGACAATACCTCCATCTGCAGAGAGAAGGTTGGGGGAGAGGGGAGTTATGGCCACAACAATCAAATATTGGTACAGTGTTAATTTTACCTAACCTTACTAATTTAACATTCATACGTCATTTATTCTAATTTTTTTAAATAACCGTGGTGTTCCGGACCAGCTAGCGCACACCTCGACTAATTCCAGGAGATACTTTGACTCCCACCACCAAGTAACAAGTGACTCTATCCACCAAGGTTAGGACGCATAGGAAGAAATCACCCAGTACTTTTTTTGTCTCGGCTGGAATTTGAACTTAAGACCTCATGGTTCTCAACTCACTAGGCTACACACTTGGGTGCGTCATTTGTTCTAATTTCATATTAACATTTATATAGATTAGTTCAAAACCTTAAAATATTTCTTTGATCTTCAAATATAACTCAAATTTTTCTTTTTTAATCTTGTTTAAGAAATAGGAAATCTAAGCACAATTACAATAGCATCTATAAGAATGAAGTATGTCAAATGAAAACTAGTAAAAGGCACTATAGACACCAAGAACCAAATAAATCAAACTTTTTTGCGCCAAAACAACCATGTATCTTTGAACCCACGGTTGTGGCCAAGTGGTTAATATAATAGGGGAGAACGATAAGATTTCGGGTTCAAATCCCATCAAACGACAAAAAAAACTAGGTGATCTCTTCTCATCTGCCCAAGCTTTGGTGAGCAGAGATACATGGTGAACTTTGCTAATGGGAGGTAGTGATACCAAGGGAGATTAGTCGAAATGCACACAAGCTGACCCAGACACCAGCGTCATTAAAAGAAGTACAATAATATTTGGTGCAACGCATAATTTTTGCTCTTGAAGGAAGAAAATCCTACTGCACTTCTATTGTTATATTTAGATGGTACTTTTTACACTCAGTTTCTGGTCCATATGCTTTTGAATTACTTTCCCCAAAAAGAGCACCTATGGGAATATGTAGATCTGGAACGAATTCAACCTGTCTGCATTTAAGCAGCGCAGTCCGCATTTAAGCACAGCGGTCCTGTCTAGTTTGACATTAACTTCATTTGTCTAATGCTGGCTAAAATTGATATTGTTAGTCTCACTTTTACCTATTCTAATGATATAACATTAAATAATTTGATTCTAACCTTTTCCAAGACAATTTCATACATTTATATATAAGCAGACAAAACTAGAAAAGGTTCCCTATTAGTTGTTTTGTCAGAAAACAGATATACAATTGTAGTCCTATTGGTCTCACTAACTTCTTTTCTTATATTTTCATGCTGGATCAGCCATTTTTATTTGCAGATAAGATTTAAGAAAAATAATCAAAATTGTATTTTTATCACTATTAAGAAAAAATTCAACATGTTAGTCATTGTTAAGAAACAAGCAATATATATTTTAATCACTGTGCGAAAAAATAATTCAACAACATATAATTTGAATATTCTCACTTTCCTGAACACTGCGAGCAACAGGTAGCTCTGTCCACCAAGGGCTAGGACAGCTGAGAAGAAATCACCAAGTGTTTCCATCTAGTGCTTTATCTTAAGCATTACTAGCATCCCTCTTAGTTTTCCTATTAGCTCTCTTATACTCTTCCAAAGCATCTCCAAATTCGACTCCCATATCTTTCTATATTATTCTCCATTTGCATTAGTAGCTCTCTACACCTCTTCTTTCCGTTACCACGATTCTTGTGCTCAAGGTCCTAGACCTTTTCTAGATAACCCAAGAACTTCACCTGGTACTATCATAATGTAAGTCGCCAATTTCATATCCACTACCACTTCTAAGTGTCATGCTCTGTAAGGTATTTGGTTTATATCATTTAGCCCCCACCACCGACTCAATTGCATGCACCTCTTCTCCTTTTTCTCTCTACTATTTCACTTCACATCCATAAATATAAAGTATGTTGGTACAACCTTAAAGTCTGGACATGCAACTGTTACCTTTTCTGGTAAGAATGAAGTCTATTTAGCTACGGTTACTTTCACTCTTGAATGTGATGAAGTGTGACTCCCTTTTCTAAAAATATTTGTTAGCCAAAACATCATACCCAAAGTAATCGCACAAGTGGGGTCTTGAGAGAGTGATACCCCCTACCTTGTGAAGGTAGAGAGGTTGTTTCGGATAGACCCTCAGCTCAAGTTATTGTTAGCCAAAACTAAATCATAAACCAACATGAACTCCACAGACGCTTTCCCTTCTTCAGTGTTTGTACCATAACCATATCTTCCATGTACTTGGTCGAAACAGTCACTATATCTAACCAACGTCCATTTAGATCTCTCCCACTAAATATTAATTGGTTATTCCAAATCCATTGGACCAAAATATTTATAACTCCCCAAAATTTAATTTTGGTTTCCTCATCTAATCTAGTCTTAACAAGACAATTCTATCATCAACTCTCT